GGTGCGTGTGCATATGTGCCCAAGATCCCGAGAGGAGAATGGAGGAGAAGGGATTGCGGCGTGGCCATCCCCTCTGGGGGGTGATTTCTCGCTTTCTATCTCTCTCTGTCTGTCTGGCAAGCGCATGCGCCATATAGCAAAAACTTCTCCCCAAAACACAACCATGTAGGATGACTTCATTTCCAATTTCAATATAATTTTTCCCGCTTTTAAGTCTTTGTCATAGGCCGCATGTGTTTGCCAGAGACACAGAGACAGAAAGTGAGAAATCCCTGTCCTGGGGGTGACCAAGTCTCAATCCCTTCTCCTCCATTCTGTTCAGGATTTTGGGAACGTACACACATCCCCAGCATCATTTTCAAGCTGCCAGGTCTGGGACTTCAACTGTGGTCAGCCACGTGAGGGTCTAGCACCTTAACCACCGTGTCACCTGCTGTCCCCTCAATATAACTTTAAAAAGTAATCTTAATGAAACAGTGCTCTGCTATCACAACTTACAAAGTTTTAGAAACTAGATTATTATCAATTATGTACTAGAAACTGTAAGAAATTACTAAGCAGTTTTACAACAATTCTGTTACCCTGGGCAAGTTATTTAATCATTCTGCAGGGGCCAGCAGGTGGCGTAGTGTTTCAGGCGTTGGACTCCCACGAGACCGATAGCAGTGAGTCCTAGACCTAGTCACCTGAAAATCATACTGGCACATGTGTGTGTGCCCAAAACCCCAGGAGGAGAATGGAGGAGAAAGGACTGCGGTGTGGCCATCCCCCTGGGGAGAGGGATGAGTTCTCACTTTTTCTGTCCCTCTCTGGCAAGCACATGTGCTCGATGGAAAAAAAAAAAACCTTAAAAAACCAAAATCATTCTGCAAAAAATTACTGCCAACCTACTCCAAATGTGCTGAAGAGTTCATGTTTTAGACCTATTTTCAAGCTCACTTTTCAATCATATAGGCAAAACAGTTTTGTATATTTACAGATCTGTGATGTAATGTGTAGGTTAATCAGCTTTATTTAGCCCTTCCACAATGTATGCATATTTAAAACATCATGATATACACCATAAATGCATGTGATTTTTGTCAACTCATTCTTGGCCTTAGTGTTCTCACTTGTAAAGTAGAATAAAAATACTCTCTATTTACTTCGTAAGTTGTTCTAAGGAGCAAGTTTAGAACGTGAGAGCGCTCTGTGAAGTCAGTCTACACATTTACCAGATATGAGGAAAACGGTTTCCCAAAATGAGAACAGGTGTCACCTTCAAGACATGCTCACTTTTTGAATAATAAATAGGAGAAGTGAGGCATGAGGGTGATAAGCAACTTGCTCACAGTTGAACCTGAAAGCTGAAGATAGAGTCTGGTCTAGGTCCTGGGCCATTAGAAAAACTGGCCAAGATGGCAAGGTTAGAAAAAAGAAAACTCCAGACATCTCAAATAACATTCTTCAGTTCTAACTTTAGTGACGGTTCTATTCTCTTTGTAAATTATATACGTGTGAAGGGTGAGACATACCATTAGGGCCCAAATTCCATTGACTCTTAAAGCGGGATTTTCGCTCTGGGTTAACCCACAGAGTAGCTCGACTGCTCCTGATTCTAAAATCGGCTGAGATTAGAGAGGGAGAAAAGCACAGCGTTAGTCAGGCTTGCGAACTCAGTGTGCACATACCCTGGCGCTCGGCTTCTGACCCTCTCCCCACTCTCACCCAGAGCATCCTTCACAGAGCTGGGGGTGACGAGGCCATAAAACTCGCCTTGGGCAGCGTCATTTCACAACCCCCCAAAAACAACATAATTCCTGCCCTGTGCCTTCTCTTTGCAGTCTGGGAGGACCCAGGAGACATCGAACTATCTGCACATCTCACACCCACCCGTGACCCCGTCCCTAGCTCCCCAATGCCATCCCACTGCGCGCTGTCACGGCTGCCTCGTTTCCACATCGCTCCTGTGTGCTGCTGACAGGCGGGACTATGAAGCAATCGGTTGGTTTTGGAAAGAAAAGCAACCAGATCATTCTTCTAAATTACCAGTCTTATTCCAGGCGTGCGGCAGGGTTCACAGTGTGGAGACATTTTCAAGGGCTAGTCTTGCAATTATGTAGGCAGAACAGTTGTGCACATTTATAGTCACGCCACACTTTACCCCTAAATTAGCCTGCTCTAGCCTGGTCGCTTATTTTATTTATGATACCTGGCTGAAAATGGGTTTTGGCAATTTCTCAAACATTCAACCCTGAGAGGATTACGATTTACCACCACCAGCAAATGCTTAAAGGCCCTCTGTCAAGTGGACTGTAGACATGTCTTAAGCAGTTCAGGCCTACAGACCTATAAAAGGGGAGTGCGTTTCAAGACGCCATTTTTGAAGAGGAGACACATTCCTCTACTTGTATGAATTGTATTTGAAAAACTTTCTATTTAAAATAAGTTCAGACTTGCAAAGTAGCAAGAACGATGAAAGGAACTCCCATATATTCTTTTCTGAGATTCACCAATTTTTTTTAAGGATTATTTTATTTAACTTTATTTATTTTTTAAAATTTGGCCAGAGAAGGACAGAGTGAGAGGGAGAGGGAGAGAGTAAGAGAGAGAAAGAGAGGACCAGGTCTGGGACTCGAACCACAGTGGGCCATGGGGGAGTCCAATGCCCTTAACTACCATGCCACCTGCCGGCCCCCAGATTCACCAGTTTTTTGCCATAACTGATTTATCACTGTCTCATTCCATACATTTATATTCATATTACTTATTTTTTCTGAATCATTGGAAGTAGAGTACAAACCCACTTCAGGCCCCTTTATCTTTAACACTTCAAAATACTTCAATATGTATTTCCGAAGAACAATGATATTCTCCTAAATAACTACAGTATGGTTACCAAATTCAGAAAAGTTAACATTAAATTAAGACAATACTTTCATTGAATCTATCGCTTAATTTTGTCAACTGGCCCCAAAACATTCTGATAGTATTTACAGTTCATGATCCAGTTTATTTTATTTATTTATTTATTACTTGGGGGGGGGGCAGGTGGAGGTTTTTGCCTTAGGGTACCTGCGCTCACCCGAAACAGAGAGAGAGAGAGACAGTGAGAGGGAAAGTGAGAAATTACCCCCAGGGGATGACCCAGCACATGCACCTGGTGTGAGTTTCAAGTCTCTGGGTCTGGGACTCGAACCACGGTCAGCCATGTGGGAGTCCAGCATCGGAATCGCTATGCCATCTGCTGGCCCCAATTTATTTATTACTTTTATCTGCATTTATTTTATGTTGAATTTATTCCCGTGCTTAGATAAGTTTTTGTTTCTTAAGTTTCTTCTGGGACATCTTCTCCTGTGCAACCTCCTCTTCCGGTGTAGGAACAACTTGCCCCTTTTAGTAATAAAGATCGCCTCGCTGTGGCGGGGAGCTCACGGATGGTTAATCTGACCACGAGCTCTGCGAGTCGGTCAGTTATCTTGGGTGCCTTGTCCACGTGAACGTGCTCAACGACCAGAGTTACTCTCTGCATTTTCAAGCACGTGCAGCAGAATCCAGCACTCTTTTCTGGGCCGCCAACCCTGTGTCCAGCTCCACTGCTTGGCCTGGGCACCTCTGCCAACACCACCATCATACAATGCCACTATCGTAATGACGGGAAGGCACGCAGCTCTGTAAAGTGGTGCCTTGCAGAGACTCGGAGGCCTTCCAGAGACTTGGCAGTTTTTCAGATATGCACATCCTTGAAGGCCCGGCAGCTTCACGGGTGTTCTTAAAGTGAACATGAATTTCGGAACTTCTTGGCTTGCATGACTTTGTGGGGTTCTCTGGGTCATGTGAATAGCGAACCATTTCAAAGATCATCTCAGGTCACTTATGAGAAGAGGATCCAGTTTATTTATTTATTTTAAAAATTTCTATTCTTTTTTGAGAGGTTTTTGCTATAGGGTGCATGTGCGCGCCAGAAAGACAGAGAGAGAGAGACAGAGACAGAAAGCGAGAAATCAGCCCCCGGGGGGGATGGCCACGCTACAATCTTTTCTCCTCCATTCTCCTCTCAGGATCTTAGGCACGCATGCACACACATCCAGGGTGAGTTTAACCCACCAGGTCCAGGACTCAAACTGTGATCGACTACATGGGAGTCCAGTGATGTAGCCATTACACCATCTGCTGGTCCCACCAGTTTCTTTTTAATATATTAAAAAATCAACCATATTAATGACCCTATGCCTGAGGTCATTTACCTTATTCCCTCGCCAGACCTCAAATATTCTACAGGTGGATCTGTGCACCCTAAGGGCGGTTCAGGATGACTGACAGTATTGCACTGGCTGTAATGAGATCGTCATCAGGTCAGGACCCCACTGATGGCCAGAGGACAGACACGGGTGCTCTGGCACAATGGCCTGCCTGTGTCTTCAGAGCAACTACCAGTCGCTCCCCTTCTGTTCCACGATCTCTGCTTGTGGAGAACTGCGTCTGAACTTCTGCCTTGTTAACACCGTGTTCCTAGTCATCGTGAAAGCCAGCTGGTGTGATAATGCATAACATAAATTCAACAAAAATGAGTCTACTAAATGTATAATAAAGCTAAGTTCATGACTGGGGCAGACCAGAGGTAGTATATATAATACAGTAACACTAACTTTACAAGATTTCTTTCTCTTTTATTAGAGTTTATCTTGATTTTTTTTTGTTTGTTTAAAACATAAATACATGCTCAAATAATTTATAAAATGCAAAAAGAGAGAGGGGTAAAAAATCCCCACATTCAATCCTTCCCCAAACAACTACCATTAAACAGTAAAAGATTATTTTCTGATACCAAAAGTTATCTTTTTGAACTGACTTATAACCATAGTTTACAAAATTGAGCCTTATCTTCAGTAAATATAATTTGAAAGAGGTCTGTTACTTGCGTAATGATTTCTTATATTTGCAGCTGCAGTGGTTTAGTCAGCTATGGGCGGTACTATCTTTGAAATAAACTGAATATGCCAGGTAAAATAAAAGGAATCACGAGAATAATAACCACATTTCCAAATGAATGACACACTTGTGCCCTGAGCCCTGCTGCCACCCTGTGTCAAACTGGGCAGGAGTTTTAAAGCCTACCCCACAGCGTCAGGGCCGACTACTGTGAAAAGCACCTGACCACGCTCTGGCCGGTCAGGGCAAAGCTTACAACAGGAAGAGAAAAGCAGTACTAACCTCTTTGCTTGGAGAAAACTCAAGAAGAAGATTACACAGCATGGAAGATGCTACTACTAGAATTTCATCTGGTGCGTTTTGTAAAACCTATGGAATTAAAAGGGGATACTATTAATGATATGGAATCACGGAGGTCAGATCATAAGAAGACTAAAACAGAAACGATTTTTGACTGCTCACATGGGGGAGAGAGTTAGAAAGACCCACTCGATACTGAACGTTACCTACCTGCTATCATTGGACGGACCCAGGTCCTCATCGCTATCTTGCTCAAAGAACCTGTAACCTCACTGGGAGTGGATGGGGGGAGACGAGACTTACGTCAGGGAGCCAGGGAGCGACACTCTATGAGAAGCTTGGAGAGCACGGGACTGATCTGGGACCAGCTGGCTCATTCTGTGCCATCCAATCTGGCAACTTACCAATCTACAGGACTGCCCTAAAGCTGGACTTTCCAATGTGTTTCTAGCAAGGCTTTTTTGGTCAAGAGAATGAACCAAGCTACTACACAGACTGTGTGGGAGGCTGGTCTCAGGACCGGATCTGCACAGCCCTGGTGCTGAGCCCGACGCTTCCATGAACCAGATGTGGGAGCCTGAGCACAGCTTTTAACTTCAACCTACAGATTTGATTTTTTTCTCTATCAACTGAAGAAAATCATGTCTCCTTGATACAACTATTTATAATTGAATGTGACATGGTAAAGAATAAGGGAAGCAGCACAACGTGGAAATTAAAAACAGACGGCCTGGATGCAAATTTCAACTTAACAGCTAAATAGGTATATGAATTCCTTAGCTGTAAAATAGGGATAATGACAGTACCTACTTCATAAGGTTGTGCACAAATGAATATACGAAAGGATTTTGGAACAGTAATGGTACACAGTAATAGCTATATAAGGAAGGCTTTCAAAAAGGCAATTTACTGCCATAACTGCTGTTGATATTAGGAATATTATCAGGCACAAAGTAGGTAAAGAGTAAACTAATAACTACAAACTCTCACTGAATTCAAAAGGCAGTTTTGCACGATGACTGATGTTCCTTCTGTCAGCTGTCATCAGAACCTATTCATTCTCTCCAGAAGCTTAGAGAAGGCTTCAGCAACGCCATCACTCATGAGTAGTCACTGCCCCTTCCGCTAGATCCTCTGCATCTGGGGTCATGTCAGGTTCTGGCTTATGATCCCAAAAGGAGTCCAAGAAGTTCATTATGCAAATTGGAAATGGACAATCCCCAAAAGTTCCAGGAGTTAACTGTATCACCTGCCTTCCTCACCAAAACCAAGTCTGAAGCTCCCGCATTAAGAATAAGAAGAATTATAAAGTAGGAACGGCTCTCGGATGCTGGGCTTTAAGTTTCCTGCGAACTGTGAGTTGCGAAAGACCAGGTCACACAGACTCGGCATGCTGGTCTGTGTCTGCTGAAGCCCCTCTGAGACTTGCTCGCCCTGCCTCTGCCGCCTCGCCTGCCCCCCTTTCCCGGCGGTCTTGTGGTTAAAGAGGCAAACCGCACACAGCTGGCTGCAGGTCCAGCCCCAGCCCCGGCCCAGCCTCAGCCCCAGGCACGTGAGCACGCCCCATCCGAGAGCACAGGGAAACAGAAAAGGGACTGTGGCTGACCACGTGTCCCTGCGGGGTGCTTGCTGCTTCTTTCTCTCTGTCTCGCCTGACGAGTGCACACACCTTCTGGCAATTACAAATAAACTAATTTAATCAATTTTATGAAATAGATTTTGGTTAGGGCCCATGGACTAGTTAGGGCAGCGGGATTCTATATAGCCAACCCTGTGGTTTGAATTCTGTCTCTGGCAGCTTGAAAAACACACCCAGTGCAGAGGTGTGCATACCCCAAATCCTGATAGGATGGAGAAACAGAGGAGAGAGATTGTGCTGTGACCTCCAGTGTGCCCAGTGGGGGTGCTTTTTTTTTTATTTGAGAGGTTTTTCGCTATAGGGCGCATGCGCTTGCCAGACAGACAGAGACAGAGAGAACAGAAAGCGAGAAATCACCCCCCAGGGGGGACGGTCACGCCGCAATCCCTTCTCCTCCTGGGATCTTGGGCACGCACGCACACGCGCCCGACGTGAGTTTTAAGCCACCAGGTCCGGGACGCGAACCACAGTCAACTATGTGGGAGTCCAGCGACATAGCCATTACGCAAACTGCTGGCTCCCCCCACTGGGGGTGCTTTCTCCCTCCCACCTCCTTCCTCTCAAGGGGCTCACATGCCGACTAAGAAGAAAGTTTCCTGAAGGAGTTATCTATGCACCTATGGTCAAATCTGTCCTGGTCTGGAGCAACCCAATGACACTGTGCTCACATGATAGTCAATACGCGTCTGTGGACCGAGAGAAACAATCATTTTCTTCTCTCTCTCTCTCTTCTTTTTTGGAGAGGTTTTTGCTATAGAGCGCATGCGCTCGCCAAAAAGACAGAGAGAGACAGAGAGACAGAAAGCGAGAAATAACCCCCCAAGGGGGATGGCCATGCCGCAATCTCTTCTCCTCTATTCTCCTCTCGGGATCTTGGGCACGCACGCACACGCGCCCGACGTGAGTTTTAAGCCACCAGGTCCGGGACGCGAACCGCGGTCGACTACATGGGAGTCCAGCGACAGCCATTACGCTAACTGCTGGTCCCTTCTCTTTCCTTCTTTTAAAAAGATAATTACTTATATAATTTTTTTATTCATTTATTTATTTTAATTTGACCAGAGAGACTCACACACACAGAGAAAGAGAGAGAGAGAGAGAGAAAGAGAGAAAGTCAGAAAGCAAGTCACCAGGTCCAGGACTCGAACCATGGTTGGCCACGAGGGAGCGGCCAGCACCTTAACCACTTCGCCACCTGCTGGTCTCCCAAGAATCACTTTCCAAAATTATACAGCTGAGAACACTGGTTGAAATTAGTGAATGCCTACCAAGTTTTTAAAAAGTTGCTATGCTTGACATGATTCATTTAAAAAAATATTATTCACTGTCTTATTAACTTGCACTTAAGTTTTTGTTTCAAATTAGGTAATAGCTAACGAGAAACTAAAACAGGTAAGAACCTATGAACTTTTCGATCTTTTTTTTAAGTTTTAGACAGAGAGAGGGCTAGTGAGAAGTCACCCCCTGCTAGTGGGATGGGCATGCCACAATCCCTTCTCCTCCATTCTCCTCTCAGGATTTTGGGCACACACACTCAAGTGCCAGGCATGTTTTTCAAGCCACCGGGTCCAGGCCTCAAACTGGAGTCAGCGTCTTAGTCACCACACCGTCAGCTGGCCTGATTCTAAGAGCTTGTTTTTAGATTTTTGCCTTAGGATGCATGCATTCACCAGAGAGACAAGAGACAGAGAGAGAGGGAAAGTGAGAAATCACTCACTGGGGGTATGGTCATGCTGTAAACCTCAATTCTCCTCTCAGGAATTTGGGCATGTGCACACATGCATGCACACACACACACACACACACACACACAAACACACACACCTGGTGTGATTTTTCAAGCCATCCCTAGGTCCGGGACTGGACTCACGTAGTTGGTCATGCGGGATCTAGCACCTTAACCACCATGCCACCTATTGGCCCCAATCCTATGAACTTTTTAACAGCATTTACTCAAGGTAGTATAAGATTATAATGTGTGAAACTCAGAAGTTGACCTCTAACAGTGACCAAATAGAGTTTCACTAAAATAGGAACAAAAGAAAATCACAGAGAGGTTTTTGCTATAGGGCACATGCGCTTGCCAGAGAGACAGGCAGAGACAGAGAGACAGAAAGTGAGAAATCACCTCCACCCCGGGGGATGGCCACACCGCAATCCCTTCCCCTCTATTCTCCTCTAGGGATCTTGGGCACGCACGCACACGTGCCTGGACCACTGGGTCCAGGACTTGAACCGCAGTTGACTACATGGGAGTCCAGCAACATAGCCATTACACTAACTGGTGGTCCCAACAAATAAAATTTTCCATGAAAACCAAATGCCTACTCTCCTGTTCTCCTGTGCTATGCTAACTGTTAAAAAAGAAAAAGAAATCAGCAGATATGCAAACAGCCTCTGAGCGGTGAGGAATCTGAAAGAAGCTGCAGTTACTCACTGGTTTGTTTCCACATTTGGGATACTAAGCTTTAATGTGCAGAGCCAGCGCTCAGGTGTAATTACACCCTTACGTGCCCAGGTACACAACCTTGCCCAGACCTTTCCCAGTAGGAACCATCCGTGGGTGGAAACCACACTCGGCTCCTTTCCTGATGTGTACGACAGAGGGGACGGAGCTGCACGATCAAGAGGAAATGGCTCCGGATGAGAAGGGTAATTTTGAAAAGCAGAAAAACACTTAAAAAATCTTGAATGGATAATCAGTTCAAGCTGTCATGAAAAAGGTGCAGTTTAAGGACAAGAAAGAGTGGGGAAAAATAAAACATTTAAGAGGAGAGCCTTGAACAGTCCAGGAATGCTGAATCTGGCTCCCACGGCTTTGGAGACGGGACTGTGGGCCTGGGAAGGACTTTCGTCGGTGGGAGCTGGCACCTGCCCCCTCTGCCCACAGCAGGCATCTTCCCAGTGTGGAAAGGCACTGGTGCTTAAGTTGGACAGAGTGGGGAGTGGGTAAATCTGAGATGTGGGGCTTTAAAATTTTTTTAAGTTATTATTTATTTCTTATAGGATACATGAGCTCACCAGGGAGAGAGAGAAAGAGACAGAGAATGAGAAAGCCATAAACCAGGTCACGCCACACGGTCAGCCAGGTGGGAGTCCAGCGCCCTGAGCCACCATGCCACCTGCTGGCCTCGAGATCTGGGGCTTTTAGTGCGGTTCAGAAGGACAAAGGTAGCAAAGGACTGAGGACTATTCAGAAGAGCCAAAGGAGGAGGACAGAGTGAAAGGGCGAGGCTCCGGGAGGGGTGCCCGTGGGCAGACACGGCTGCAGAGGCAGGCCCGCTGGAAACGAAAGGGACATGCAGTCCTGCAGCCTCCCGAGGCCGTACCACGACAGCATTTAGACCAGACGCCTCTTCGTGCTCCCCGGCAGTTCCCAACAGTGACTCATACACCCCGTCCTGTCACCCCTACCGCGGAGGCACCTCCGGGATTCACTGTGGCCTTCCTAACCCACTGCTCTCGCCTTATTCCTGGACGTCTGCCGCAGACCGTGTCCTCTGCCATGAGACGGACTCCCACGAGTAGAGCGCCTCAGCCTAGAGTTTCCCACGGCTGGAAGCCCGGGTACCTGTTCACCGGCCTGTCTACACCCTGCCCTCACCGCAGGCAGGAAGGCACACCCCGTGCACGCTTCTGCTCAGGTCTGTCCTGCCCCAGGGAAATCCTCCATTTTCCTTCTGCCTTTGCCCACTTCATACTCCTCCTGCCTGAAGCTGTACTTGACTACTAAGGATACATCAGGGCTCCCACTCCAACCTGAAGTAAGTATTTCTCATGGCCAGTGTGCCTAGAGGGTTTTGCTCACCACAGGAGGCACTCCACAACGAAACAACAAAAGATTAAAAAACTAAAAAGTCCTGTTTACTGAATTCAAGGTCACTTAGTGAAAGAATGAGAAGCCCGAAGACTAAAATGACCCGTGGTTCTGTACACACGAGGGAGTAACATTATTAGCAGCAACCTGGTGCATACGCTAAGTCTCAGTTCAGATTCAGTTACTCTAAACCTTTTCTGAGGGTGGTGGAGGAGGCCCTCAAGAGACCTTACATTAAACAACAACAACAACAAAACAAGGGAGGGGGGCCAGCAGGTGGTGTAATGGTTAAGGTGCTGGACTTCCATTAGGCCGACTCTGGTTCAAACCTTGGACCAGACGGCTTGAAAATCATGCTGGGTGTGTGTGCAAAAACCCTAAGAGGAGAACAGAGGAGGGGACTGTGGCATGGCCAACCCTCCTGGGGGGGAGGGGGGGTGATTGCTCACTTCCTCTCTCTCTTCTCTCTCCCTGGCAAGCACACATGACCTTTAGGAAACCTTAGTAAAAGACAAAGGGATTGCCAAAAGACTTAATGTAACATGTAAATGATTAATTCCTTTCCTTTTTATAACTAAAATTCTGAGGTCAACTGTGGCTACAACTTTAAAGTAGAATATTAAACGGGCTGGCGTGGTGGTCAAGGGCACTGGACTCCCACATGGCCGACTGTGATTTAAGTCCCAGACCTGGCAGCTTGCTTTCTCACTTTCCTTCTCTCTCTCTCTCGCTCTCTTGCTCTGTCCCTCTCTGGTCAAATTTTAATAAATAAATACAGTTAAATAAAATAATTCCTTTTTTGTTTTGGAGAGGTTTTTTTTTTGTTGTTAGTTTGTTTTTTTGCTAGGAGGGGTTTTTTTTTTTTTTTTTTTTTTTGTTAGTTTGTTTTTTTTTGCTATAGGGTGCATGCATTTGCCACAAAGATAGAGACAGAGAGACAAAATGCAAGAAATCACCCCCAGGGTGGATGGCCACACCACAATCCCTTCTCCTCCATTCTCCTCTCAGGATCTTGGGCACACACGCACACGCGCCAGGCATGAGTTTAAGCCACCAGGTCCAGAACTCGAACCGCGGTCAACTATGTGGGAGTCCAGACACAGCCGTTACGTCAACTGCTGGTCCCATGAAATACTTTAAAAAATTTTAATGTATAATACTAAACACCTCGGGAGGTAGATGAATACCTAAAGCTTTAGTTAAGAAACAAACCCAGGCACGTGGTCTCCCTGACATAGGAGAACTGACGTCAGAAGCACAGCCTGCAGACTTACAGGTGCTCAACACGTCAGGCTGGAGCAGACACGCTCAGAGCGCTCCGCGCAGAAATCAGACCTGCTTCCAGAGCCAGGGAGCGCGTGGGCCTAGCACTACGGGCTCTGGAGCACGCCACTGCCAACCCTCTCCCTGCTGCTCACCTTCATCAACGGTTTCCACACAGCATGGTCCTGGAAGCTGGTTCGAAGCTGCTGCACAGATCTGGATAAACTGTGCAAACATCTACAAAAAATAACCGAAATTAACTTCACAAAAAGCTGGAGCTTTTACTTTCAAACAAACTACTTGGTATTTCGCAATGACTACTGAATACTTCATATACTGGGGTCTTCAAAAAGTTCACGGAAAACAAGTATTATGGAACCAGTATGCATGGATTTCAAATTTTACAATAAAATAAACTCACATTTTAATTCCAGTTTTCTATCAACTCTTTGAAGTCCTCTCATTTGTCTATGGACATTGTTAGGTCAACAACTCAGAACCCTCCATGGGCTTTGGAGATTAGATTGTTAGGTACTGTTAAAGCTGTATGAATTCACCTGATCGTACTTTTGAGTAACACCTGGATTCTGTGCGTACTCGGTGAAGGACCGGAAAGGAAACGGGTTAAACACAGGGCAGAGAATTTTTATTCAGACCATTTAAAGCTCATACCTGACGGCAGCTAACCGCACCTTGACACTAGACTCTGACAAGCCAGTCACAATTCGGTCCATCATATTTTCAGTCTCAATGATCTGGAGAAAAAGGTTAATGCTGCATAAATAACAACATGAAGGTGACAGACTTCACTGCTCGTAAATGCAAGCATGTTAATACCCACTACAAGTTTAACGCTGTTTTTGGCAAGAGTCTTTACCTCTTGAAGTTCTTCCCATCTTGTGGTGGGAACAGGCCGCTCATGAGAAAGGGAGGGCCAGCCCACCGAGAACCAGGCTGAATGAAAGGTATAAGAGGCACATTCTGTTTCTTTGTTTTTGAAGATGTTTAATACAAAAATTAAATGGCGTAAGTACTGCGGCACGGTAAGACAAACCATCTTGAGAAAGAGTAAAAAGATCCAAGTGAACTTTCATGGGGCAGGTTCCTGCCAGAGTGAGACTCCAGGAAAACCACAGTCCACACTCGGCCTCGTGGAATGAAACCTGCAGGTCTCAGACAGTCACCCTCTGGCTACTTTCTTCCTCTCTTTTTTAAAAAAAGAATTATTTTATGTATTCATCATTATAATTATTAATTTGACCAGAGAGAGTCAGCGAGAAAGGGGGAAAGTGAGAAAGCAAGCTGCCAGGTCCAGGACTTGAACCACAGTCAGCCATGTGGGAGTTCAGTGTTTTAACCACCACCATGCCACCTGCTGGCCCCAGTGGCTACTTTCTTACGGAGGAAATGAAGACTAAGTTCAATATTTAGTGAAGTACACTTTGCCATCTCTTACTACAGTACCAGTATCATCGCGAAGCTTTTCTTCTGTAACGTAAAAGTTCAAGGCCAGCCAGTGGCGTGGTGGGTAAGGCAGCTGGATCACACAGGGCTGAATGCAAGGTTTGAGTCCCAGACACAGCAGCTTGAAAACCACACTGGGTGTGTGTGTGTGCCCAAATCCTGAGAGGGCAATGGAGAAGGGACTGTGGCGTGATCGTCTCCCCCAGGGGCTTATTTCTCACGTCTCTCTTTCTCGGTCACTCTCTCTGGCAAACAGGCACTCTATAGCAAACTGGGGGGGGGGGGGGATAAGACTGCAGTTTTCTGCCATTAGGCAACAGAGATACAAACAGCGTGTGGAGGAAATCAATGAAGTTTAACCTCTATGGGCCTATGGAAAAATAGCCATCATATTAAGTGCTAATGCTATCAGAACACGAATAGCAACAAGAACAACGAATACTTGAGTTCTTCTGCAGGCATTGGGCTCAGCCTGTTACATTTTCTGATTTAACCTTCACTGTTCCATAGGCACTATTAAGATTATCCCCATCAACAGATTAGGAAATTCAGGACTCCAGATAATGCAGAGCTTCCCCGGAATCGCAGAGGCGCGACTGGGACCCAGGCATCTGGCTCTGGAGGTGGAAAACAGCCCTGGGTAAAGGAGCAGTCCTGGGTAAAAAATACCCAAGCGACTCATATGAGAATCAGTACCTTCACCTGCCAGAACATCTGGACCAACAGATGTTAACTCTGACCACAAAGAATCACCTGGGGAGAGTAAAAAAAAAAAATCTCCGGGCCGTACATCAGGCAATTAAATCAGGATATCTGGGGTGGGGACCGGATACCTGTTTTGTTTTTTAATAAAGCTCCTCAGGTGAGTCCAGTGTGCAGCTAAGGTTGAAGATCACTGACCGAGAGTAAACTGAGAGGACTCAGACTGGCTGAGCTCAGGAGGGAGATGATGGGGAATCTCAGGCTACTCCAGACGGCCCAGGAAATACAGCTGACATTAACAGTGACCCGGGGAGATCAACTAGGAAGAACGGAACCATGCTGCAGTGAGTCAGGGACCGTCATTTTTATGTAGTGATTTTGCAGTTTCCAAAGAGGCCGACGAAGATTTCTATGTTGATCGACTCCTCACCCGAGACCAGACCTCAGCCCACCCTTACCTTCGTTCACGCCTACAGTCCTCACCGTCACCTCTAGCTTCTAAACTCCTCCCTTTCTCGGTCGACCTAGCGTCCCATACCTTTTCTGCTTGACACAGTTGCTCTGCTTAGAAACTCCGTTTAGTAGACAGACCCCCCCCTTTTCCGGATGTTCCTGCTCTAGACCCCAAATTGCTGATGTTGCAGGAGAAAGCCACCCACGTTGGCTGACTGCTCTTGCGTGTGCCCTCTGCCTCAGTGGGGCCCTCAGGGCTGGCTCCCTGCCTGCAGCACATCCCCACAGTCCCTGAGGAGCTTGCCTCTTGTTTTAAATTCTTCCTGCATCCTAGAGGCTCTCACCCCATCGCCCACCTTCCTTGTAGGGACCTTGGTAGGGACCTCTGGGATGCAAGCTGCCTCGGCTGCCCACCTGTTCCTGGAGTGCCTCTACACCTTCCCTGCTCTCTTCACTCTTGCTATGCTCAAGTCCCAAAAAGCACCCCTCCGTACCCTGGCCTGCCCCACCAGATCCTTCTGCACCCCAAACTTTCACCTCCTGAAGCACTCCTGAGTGTCCCAGAGGCCCTGTCCATCGCCGTACTCTGTCTAACCAACGTGGTATGGGTTACCTCCGGACCCGGACCTGTTCTACACCGCCTTCCTCACCCCCAGGTCTGCTGAGGCTAGGCAGTGGTGCTGACGAACAGGGTGGCCGTCTGTGGAACCTCATTACGTCCCAAGCTGAATTAGTCGGTCACCTTGTCCCCAAGTGCCCTGGCTAACCCACTTCTCCCCTATGTCTGCAGCTGGTGGTGTTACCACTCTTCTAGCCAATCAGGCGCTAAGTGTGTGCTCGTCCTGACCCACCTCTTTCTCCCTCAGAATCGGTCAGTTCCTTCTGCACTATACGTATTCATCTCACCATCCTCACTCCTAGTGAGGACCTTATTACGTTTCCTCGGGAGTAAGGGTTACGTTTCCTAACTTCCTGTGCTACTGCAACCATCCAAGTCTGGCTTGCTGAGAAGTTACTTCAATCAAGTCACTGTTCTTGAAACAGATAAAGCCAAATCAGGACCCTTAGCATGGGGAGGAGACTAAGACCTGCTGCAGACGTCTCAGGGTCTACAGTCTGTGGCCTGAAGGCTCCTGGCGCGTGGGAAATCGTGTTTACTTAGAGATGAGTGACAACTCGGGGGCAGCAGCTGCCTGACAGGACACAGTGACGTCATCAGAGCCTAAGTGGCGGTGGTGGCAGGGAGGGGTGAACAGGACACGCGGTACTCTGTGAGGATGGAGAAATACCGTTAGCACCGGCTGCAGATGCTTAGGAGACCCGGCTGTGGGAGAGACGTGAAAGAGGCTCCTGGATGCTGACTGGCCACACCCAGCCGACGAGGTGGACCTGTCAAGGAGCAGAGCCAGCGTGGCGATCACGAAGGCACGAATCTCTGAAACCGCCTGACATCATGAAAACCCTAATTCTCCGGAAGAGATGGGCTGGGAGATTCTATAAGCTTAGACCATGGGCTCCAGTCCCCCCGTGGCTCCTTTCCGAAGTCAGCAGGGCTGAACCCGGGCCGAAGGAACAGGGTGCTGGTGGGTAGTCAACCCAGAGGGCGCGGCCGTGAAGGGAGTGTCAGGACGCAGACCTGCCGTGTAATCCTGAGCAACTCACTTTAGCTGTCTGGGCCTTCAGTAAAACGAGAGCACTCAGCAATGGCTATTTCCCTCCAATCGTGTGTGATCAGGAGGTGAACAAAGATCACATCAGTCTGGGCAAAATGACGGCCGTTCGGAAGCAGCATGGGGAGCCCGGCAGGCGAGAAGAGACTGGAGGCGGTGCAGGCCTCGTCCGACGGGGTGTCTGGATGGGGGAGGAGGCCCGGACGGCAAACGGCACAGTCCCTCCCTGCATTCCTGAAACCTTACCTGCAGTCCTCCATCCCCGTACTCAGCGGTACGAGCGTCCACTGAGCGTCGGACATGGCTTTAAGACCCGAGGGAGCGCGCTCTCGTTCCCGTCGCCTCACAGAGCTGCATAAGCCACGCCATCAGCAGGGCTGCTGTGTGACACTATGGCAGCAGAGCACCATGGAGGGACGGGCGCGTGGGCTGCAGAGTGAAATAAACGGTGACAAGAGAAAGTAGGAAAACACTCTTCACGGGGCTTTACTACCGACTGGGAAGTGGCACTAAGCGACTGTCACTGGAGGACACCCGGCTCGGGCCAGAGGACGGCAGAGTGCTCAGTGGTCAACCCCTGGCACCAGAGTACAGTGTCGTGCTCTGGGTTCCCTCGGGGTGTGTGGTGCCTAGCACCCTGGGACGAAGCGCCCTTCCCGAGTCAGATCACATGGCATGGGGGCTAGCTGGGGGTGACCTCCCTTCAGGTACGAGTCTGCCTTTCTCAGACCACACGATGTCAACAGGAGGAGGCCTGGACTTGTGAGCAAAACCTTCCTGAGGGACTTCGGTAACACTGCAAGGGTTCTAGAATGCATACTCCTTCCCCATCAGGAGCTCAGTCTGGGGGTGAGCACAAATGACACAGAAGTAGAGCATGAACCTAGGTTCTGATCCAAAGGCTCTCTGAGACACGGATGTGCAGCACTGACCTGATGAAGGCCGCGTGGCCAGAGGGCGCCGAGGCCACTGCGTGGACAGAGGGCACCGAGAATACCGCGTGGACAGAGGGTGCCGAGACCACCGCATGGCCAGAGGGCGCCGAGGCCACCGCGTGGACAGAGGGCACCGAGAATACCGCGTGGACAGAGGGTGCCGAGACCACCGCATGGCCAGAGGGCGCCGAGAATACCACGTGGACAGAGTGCGCTGAGGCCACCACGTGGACAGAGGGCGCCGAGAATACCGCGTGGACAGAGGGCGCTGAGGCCACTGCGTAGACAGAGGGCACTACCCTGCCTGACTCAAGGACTGGCATGAGAATGAGCGTGGTTACAGGGCAGGCAAAGGTCTGAAAGCAAGTCCGGCGAAGACGCTTCCAGGCCAGCAGAGGAGCGGGTGACTGCAGCTGCCACGACCCTCTGACCCACTTGAAGGTCTAACAGAGCGCCACACAGCTTTCCAGATATGGGTTGGGAAAGCCACGAGCAGTCAGACATGCTCACGGAGGTGCCCTGGAATGACCC